CAGTGTACACGTTTTATACAGTATTGAACATTACATTAATGGAGCAGAGAGGGAGAGAGGCTGAAGGGACCAGTCTAGGAGGCAGCCAGTATTGCGGTGCGGGTGAATATATCTGTTATTTTAGCTACTAGGAGGCAAAATGAGCACTTAACCCTTGCAGTGCAGGCACAGCCCCACTGCAAGGCTTAAGAATTATTTTGTCTGGAGTTCCTCTTTAATATTACCTTTGGGACCACATTTTAGTCATAAGGAAGTTGTATTGATCCAAGTAGTGGAACAGTATCAAAGGGTACCAGAGGAGAGTCCGAATTTGGAGTCTTGATCATGGAGAGATTATCCATGTCAGATTGTGTTTGAATCACTGGACCAGTCCTGTACAGTAGTATGTGCATGGCCGTTTCTAGACATTTTGGATTATCATTTAAGCTGTTTTAATCTAATGTAAGAGTAACAACTTTTATAGTTATTTGATCCATGTTATTCAGATGCAGGGGGAAGTAGGTAGGTCAACAGGAAGTTGTTTGTCAGTAGAGATAATAGAAAAGAGTGTCTGCCAGAACGGTTTTATTTTTGAGCAAATCCAAAATAGGTAGAGCATTGACTCTTTAAATTTGGAGCATCTCCAACACATTGATCTAAATACCAGGAAAATAAAGTTTTACTGGAGTGTAGTACCATAGGGAAAAAAGTTTGTAGCCAGATTGCTGGAGTCTAGTAGAGATCAAGGCTTTACCGCTGATTTACTAAAGACAAATTTGCAAGGAATTTTCCTTTGTAAATGTTTCAAAAATTCACATTGCAAAGAATACCTGGTATTAAAATATTAAAAAAATATATATAAAGTATGTTTGCTTGCACATGATTGAATGATGGAAGTTAGCCAGGCTTTACGTCTTTCGCTAGGCGAAAAAAAAGTTGTTTTGCAAAGTGCAACAGCAAATTTGCTTTAATTAAATCAACGCCTTTATGTGTAACAAAAAAAATTGTCCCATTGTTAGGCCATGAGCTGGTATGAGAGCTCCTTTATTTAAAGATGGCAGAAGGGGGATCTGATGGATTGATCTATGTGAAGCTATTGATAGAATTGGGAAAGCAGACCTCAGGGTGCCGTTTTGTTGAAACAGTTTGTTCCACAGGGGTGAGTGGCCATAAGCCAGTCTTTTAGGGGCAATGAGTTAATGAATTATTGGGTTCATGCATCAAGCTTAGAACAGTTGGAAGATTCACAAAGATTGTGGAGGAAAACACAACCCTGTTAGGATAGGAACCAAGGGATTCTGTGCATTCCCACTTCTTTCCTTTTTAACAGAGCTGTTGTTGCTGAGACCTGATGGGAAAGAAAAGTTTCTGAAGATAGGTGGGAGAGTGAAGGGTAAAGCCTGCCATACACCTATAGATTTTCTGCAGATTTTCTACGGTCAGATGAGATGGAAAAGTGCAAAAGATTCCTCCATCTACGCTAAACTGCGTGGATGGAGGAATCTCCCAGTGGGCCCACTTCAGTATCTTGCTAGTCGGCCCTGTTGGCTCTCAAAATACCTGAACAATCTGATTGGATGCAGGCATTGTAGAGGTATTCTGAGAGCCAGCGGGGCTGACTAGCAAGATACTGCAGCTTGGCCCAGTGGGAGATTCCTCCATCCACACAGTTTAGCGTAGATGGAAGAATCTGTTCCACTTTTTTCATCTGACCATAGAAAATCTGCAGATAATCTATAGGTGTATGGCTAGCTTTAGAGTTGTAAAGAATTGTCCACCTTCCAATTTGAGAACTTTTGCAGGATGATGTTGATTAATGTGTGTGCGGTTGTTAGAGCAAGATTGGATAGTGAGATCCATGTGAGAGAGGCAAATGAGTAGTTGCGCTCCATTAAGGCCCATTCTTTGGTTGGCTCATGACAGTACCAATGCCAATGGCTGTGGCCAAAATGGTAGCAGAACAATGAAGCAGAAAGTATGTAGCACCCAGGCCACGAAAGTCCTTAGTATGGGTAAGGGGTTTTTATTGGATTCTGGGCAGTTTGGAGGTGATGGATACCAGATAGCCAAAAGAGGATGGAAAAGCAATTGACAGTTTCAAAAAAGGTGAGATAATTCTCCCATTTTAGAAGATCCATCTTTGTGACTTCTACCAGGGGGACATAGTTACATTGATATAGGTCTTTAGAGGTGCGGGTCATTTTAGTGCCAAAATAAATTAGGATGTTGTGGATCCAGCAGAAAGGGAAGCATTGCTTAAGGGAACGGGTTACTTTCTAGCTCAGAGTTACAGTCATGGCTTTTGATTAATATTTATTTTGAGGTGTGAGGGGGAGCCATAGAAATAAAATCCCCTCAATTCGTTCAGAGGTGACAAATGTAGATTAGTGGTATAAAATAAATAACCAGCACAGGCAGACATTTTATATATTTTTGGTTTAACACAACGTTCTATAATGTCTGGGTAAGTTCTAATGTGGCATTAGAAAGGTTTAAGGGTAAGTGCAAATATTTGTGGGACAAGGGACTGCCTTCACATTCTATTAGTTATGAGAAAGCTATTTGAAAGAGTGCCGTCGACTCTTTGCACTAGCTGATGACTAGAGTGATATTATATATGTAAATGGTAAGTTCAGTTCTTCATAAAACTCCCTCCCCTGGGTCCCCACTGTACTTCGCTGCTGTGAATATCATCTCCCACCATGGCAAGAACCGCTACCATTGCAAGCATTATGCTACAGAGGCTTTGGGCTGTGTAGTGTAGTTTTAAAAGGTCCAGGCTATTACTCCAGCTGGGGTGGGTGGTGGGAGATGGTATTCACAGCAGCTAAGTGCAGCAGGTAGGGTGCTGTGAGTTAGTTCACAGATTTTTATGAAAAGGGAAATGGCATCAATTGTGAACAGTGCATTAGCTCTAGTTTCTATGAAAAAAAGATGAAACCGATTTGCTGAGAATGAATCAAGATTGGTAGGTGGTGGCACAGTCTTTTGAATATAATTTATCAAAAGAGTTTTTGATTGACATTGAACAAGGATATCTGTATGACTGATGCAGCTGGTTATGTGTTTGAGTGATATGGGACTCACCATTATGGTCACAGAGAGTCAAGAGCTAAGAAGCATTGCGGACGGTCAGGGAGCACAAGTGAAATGCATGCCTTTATGAAGTGGGGAGTGAGGTTTGATGGAAGGCTTTGTAGTATAAGAGGGCCAAAGCCATGAGGCCCAGGATCTTTACCAGATACTGTAAAGGAAAAACAATTCTGTAACGGAGAAAGGGCCTAGAGCTTTCACAGCTTTTTGTGATAGTTTAAGCATCCCAGAATATTGTAAATGGTCTTGGATTTAGGGATTTTAACATGCGAGTGGGAAGGATATATTATATAGATGTTCATAGGAGTAGGATTTACAACATACAACGGCCTTATTGGTGCCACTAGTGTTTCGTTTGGCAAGAATCCATTATGTGAGCGATGTAATGAGAGCAACGCTGTTCTCTAAGGGATCAGGCTCAGGATGGTTGAAGATCCTGATCCCAGAAGATGATCCGGGTGAAGATGTCAGCACCAGCAAGGGAACAAAGGGAGAAGAGTTTAGTTTTGCTTCAACCTTTCAGTCAAAGATGACTTCTGCACCAGTCGACCTTCATCTCACAACAAACTGGGTACTAAAAACAGTAAGAATTATAGTTATGGAAGTATGACTGTATCTGTATGTAGTCAAAAGGCAACCATTTATGTCCCATTGCTTGACTTGAAGGTTTAGCCTGCGCAAATATTTGGTCATAAGCACTTCTAGTTGCAAAACCCACACTTACCAGTACCGTAATATAAACATAGCTAAATAAGAGTCTGTGCACATCCAGTGTAAACAATCAAACCCTTTATTGTGTAAATTACATTAGAGCGCTGTAAAAAATAACCTGTTAAAGAGTGAGAAACAGTAGATTGGTAGAGGTAGTAGGAAAATTTATGTAACAGTCCACAGATAGTTAACAGGAGTGTATCAGGCTAAAAGTATTTTATTTTGAGAAGCTGATCAAAACAGGTTAACTAAATAAATAACAAAACAAAAATCATTTAAATACTATAGTCTAGAGGATTTCTACAATAACAAATCAACACAATACTGATGATAAAATAAAAGAGCACAAAAGCTACACCACTAAATAGGGTGATATTACAGAAAGAAAAAAAATGTTAGGATCCGGGGTGATTTTTTTTTTAATGCTTGTTCAATTATGTGAATCTTATTTCTGCACTGTACACAGCATGTAATTATCTACAATGGTTTCCCCCTACTGTTGTTCTCCATAAAGAAACATCGACATTGTAAACTTTGTTGTAGCATCAGTGACAGCCATGCTTCCTGCCAGCCGTCAGATGTTCTTCAAGACTGTGCCAAGCTGAATGAAGACTCCGTTTAATTGTAAGATCACTCCAAGCCAGAGTGTTTAATACCATAGGTGTCATGTTTTGAAGGATCTAATAGTAGACTGTATATTATAGTATGTAAATCACTGTGTCTTTTGAAAATGACACTTCACAAACAAAACGAAAAAAAAAAAAGAAACGTGTTGTGTCCAGTCATATTAAAAAGGAGGAAACCGTTAATAATTAACCAGATTAATTATTAGCATAGATGTGGAATGAATCCAAAATAAAATATTTAATACAATAAAACACTTCAGATGTAAGCATTTCTGAATCCACCTCCTACCCAGGCAATACTCTAGACACCAAATTTAGGGAACAAAATGGTGGCCAGCTCATCACCACACAAAATTAAAACATTTAGCTCCTGGTATAGCCATACAAGAACTAGAAAATGTATTTGTAGAACCCAGAATAAAATAAACTACATTAAAATATCTGTTGGGAAAAAAATGCCTTTTTTTTTTTTTAATTCTTTTCAAACAAAATATTTATCATAAGCCCACATACTACAAAAACAAGCTATTCTTTATAGTACAAAGTAAACTGTCGCTCTTACCAGTATTAAAAGGTTAGATTTTTTTTTTATCTGTACATGTAAAATTATTGCTTTTTTGAAAAATATATTTAGCATGCTAGGATTTTATTTTATACCCATTTCCTGCCTTTATAAAAGGTTACAATTAAAAAAAACACACACACTAGTAAAGCTTTTGCATTTTTTTTTTCACAGAACATATTCTTTTCAAGGCAGCAGTAACTTTGTTGATAATGCATAAAATCAAATGTGCAAAGATTTGGGACTCTTAGATGTGTTGCTGTAACACATGGTGTCACAGCAACAATGGGCAAAAGAAGATCTATGGAAAACATATGCAATCCCTCCCAGTGAACAGCACAGCAATGCTGTTTGCTAGACTGAAGGGGTAAACCGAGTTCACTGCTTTATTTTTGTTTACCATCACCTCACCATAAAAATGCTGCAGAAGAGGTATATAAAGCTTTTTTTTTTTATATGTTCGTTCCCCCCACAACCTGAATTCCACCAAATAACAAAGACAACTTAATAGGCAACATCATCAAACATGCTATAAACAGGAAAGAAAGAAAAAATCTTAAGACCTCTCTCAAGGTACCGGCTTGGAGAAGGGTGGTTTTGCAGTGGGGAGATGCATGCATGCTATCACATGCCCAACTATTTTTTTTCTTCTTTTAATTATTTCGCTATCTAGTACAGTACTAAACTCTGCAGCTGTTGTGTGGCATTTACAAAGGGAAAACATTGCATAATCATTTGTGAACAGGTGTAAGAAAGTAGCCCTATTATTAAAAAAAAAAAAAAAAAAGTCCTGAGAGTAAAATCAAGAAGCAATTTTTCCTACGGTATTAGTGTTCATGTAGCATCACGTTAAGTGTTTTATTGTTCACATCGGTCAACAGCAGAACGTGGCGGCACCTTGTGATTCGTCGTCAGAATTAAGACCATCAAAATCATGAGCTGCTCTTCAAATTTAATAAATGCATATTATTATGCAGCATCACTGAGCAGTTCGGCTTTAAGCAAATCAGTGGTAAATAAATCCAACGCGTTACTTATTGTGCCTTGTCTCCGCTACTCCTTTGACACTCGCAAGTAGTCCTCTGGAGTAGATTACAGATCAGTGCTTAAACTGTCCCAGCTGTGTTATGCTGTACCCCTTCCATCCAGTGTGTGATGAAACTCTGCTTCATGACTGTGTCATGTGCCATCTCAGCAACTGCTATTTTTAACAAAGTCTGAACAGCATTTAAAATGATATGGATGTAGATTCGCCTACATCTTTATTATAAAACACTATATAGTACAGGAGTATCGTCGCACTAAGAGGGAAGGTGTCACATTTTAGCTTCACTTTAATGCAACAGCTCCAGTGACTTGATGATTAGAAGGCATGTTTTCCAGCTGGTCCTCTATGTAACTGGTGGGATTGTCACTTTCAGGTCGGAGGAGCTGCTTGTCGGGGTACTCGCTGTTATCAAAAGGTACCCGATGCACACATTGCACATGAGTCTTTAAATTCCCTTTTTGAGAGGCACTGTATGGGCAATATCTGCATTGGAATGGTCTCTCCCCTAAGAAAAAAGAAAACAAAATCACTTTTTTCAAGGTATTACTGGTTATCTGGCTATAATGTACAGTCATTAACTGATAAACTAAAAGGTACCTATAGACATTCAGTTGTTTTTTTCTAACCAAATATATATTTTTATGCCCACCTGGGACATAGGCCAAGGATTTACCTGGTGTTTATCTGGTGTTCTACTTTTGCAGATATCCAGTTTTCTAAACACTGACAGATCTATTCACTAAAGGGTAAAGAGTTTGGAGAAGGCAGGAGAAGTGAACAATCTAACTGGAAAGTGAGCTGAATTCGAGACTTTTTCCAAATCAGGTATGTTGTCCTAGATTGTTCACTTCTCCTGCTTTCTCCAAACTCTTCACCCTTTAGTGAATAACCCTGTGAGAGGTTTGCAGAGCTAAGGTCCTGTGTATAGGACACCTAGGAGAACAAATGGCTTGAAATTTGCATCTGCAGTTTTTTTCCCCCTCTCAATCCAAAGAACATACTGGGATAATCAGCTTGTACTAAAACCTACCCATAGATTGTGAGCCATATATTGTCTTGGACATTCTGAGAACAACTGGTAAATGTTCTGTGTAAATAATTCTGAAATATGGCCAAGCTTAATAGAATGCAAATATTTATTTTCGTCCTCTCCAGGAATAAGGGGTATAAGTCTAAAGCAGTTAAAACCAAACATTAATTGCAGGCGAATCTTCGACGTGAATGTGTTTTATATGACAGTAATTGATTCACCACCAGTAAATGTTTACTCTACATTCACTGTTTTATAAATATGCCCCCAAGTGTACTTTTAAAGTAAACCTGAGCGGCTGTACAGCCGCTCAAGATATCTTGTAAGCAGCCTGATTCTCACTCCCCCTCCCCGAACACCGCCTCTCTCTGTCTGCCGCCTGTGTCACCGCCCCCTGCCTCTCTCCCCACCCACCATCTGTCACCACACTCCGCTGCCTCTCTCTTGCCCGCTAGCTCCCTCCCGGCCGTGGTCTTCGGGGTACCCCCGCAGGGCTCTTCTGGGGGACCCGGGACCACGCAAATTGGATCAGGTTAGAGAGCGGGGAGCAGATGAGAGCATGTCCGTTCTCTGCTCAGTGTGAGCACTGACAACACTCGCAGCCTTTCTGCCACAGAATAGCAAGCAAACTACTGTGCTAGAACTCCTCTATTGGAGGTGACAGGTTCAATAAAGAGAACCTGTCACCTCCAAATGCTATCATACAGGGGGCTTGTTAGCTCTTGTGTTATAGCAATAAAGTTAAGTGAAAAAAAGTCAAAAAAATACAATACAAATTTGAAATGTAAATAAATAAAAATGTAAAAAAAGGTAGTAAAGTAAAATTAAAAAAAAATTAAAACACATGCATTAGGGCATTGTGTGAGCGGAGTGGGCAATCCGTGACGGACGGTCGCGGAATCGCACACCACCACTGACAGTGCTATTATTTTCAAATGGCATTCCAGTCGAGCCAGGCAGGTTGCACGATTTCCCACCACAATACCACCTGTGCAATCGCAGTTGAAAACACAGCACGGTGCATGTTGCAAAAAAAGGTACATGTACCTTTTCAGCAGTTGCCATGCGGCTGTACCCTATGAAAATCAATGCGGTCGCGCAGCAACCGCTGTATGCAACTGCACACGTGTGCCCAAGTGTGCACCAGCCCTGAAGGGTGAATTCACTTTTCCAAGTAATTTGGGAAAATAATATTACCCGCACAAATATGGCCCCCTCTCCTTCCCAGATACACTTGCCATTTGGGCGACTGGTCCTTCCCCATCTGCCAGTACAGGTGTACTATCTGTACCTGTGCCATGTATTCTGAATTTCACTCGCAAATTGCAAGCACTCGTTGATCAGTGCGGTCACCTGACGGCGCTGACTAATGAGAAGCATTTCTTAGCACTGCTAAATACGGTTTTGGTTAAAATAGTTTTTTTTGTATCAGGACAAGTATATTGTCATGAGGGACAAGTAGGGTGGGCTCCCACTTTAGTCCTTGGACAAGTCGTTTTTTTTAAATTTCCACACCCCTGTGGTTTGCCCCACCAATTCCGTTGGCTCTGTGTTTGACAATAGGATGCCCACCAAATGTAAGAACAGAGAGGTATGGGAGATGAGGACAGGGTCAACCTAATCACTTTAAGGAGAACTATGAGGTGAGTGAATTTCACTCAACCTCATAGTTTGAGCCGACGTGTGACAATGAAACAGTCACACGTCGGCTCAATAGAACGGGAAGTGAGCGAACACATACCGTCCCTCACTCACATCTCGATCCTGCCCCTGCAGAGAGCCGTGACCGTCACTCATGGCTCCCTGCAGGGATTCCCTCCCTCCCCGATCCTCCAGCGCTGACTGGAGGAACGAACGGGGGAGGGTGCGGGTACAGCTGGCTCTGCCTCTAGATAGCCAGAGCCTGCTGTCAATCACGCAGCTGGGTGGATCTCAACAGTAATGTCGGGATCCATCCCAGCTGCGGTGGTCTCGGTATTACTGAGCTTAGTATACTGAGCTTTGGGTCACGGGAGGATGCTAGTTTATGTCCTCCTGTGACCCTGAGGAGAACTTTGGGGAAAAACATTTACCCCATAGTTCTCCTTTAAAAAGTAAAAAACAAAAAAACAAAATGCCCTGCCCCCCCCCAAAAAAAGGAAACCTGTGATGACTCTTGCACACACCTTTTGCCTGTTTGATCAGCACAGCATTTACGCCAAAGCTTTCTGCACCAATGTCAATGCTCCACCACCCACAGACAAGCTGAGCAGAGCAAGAGTGTGTTGGCTTGCACACTGTTAGAAATTGAAGTGCTGAATGACTACACCTTTTTTTATCACATATTTCTAAAACTCTGGACATGAATTTGGATTTTACTAATGAGGCTGGGTTCACACCTAGGCGACAGCATTTAATGCACGTTTTATGCGCATAAAAATCAAACCGCACGTTTTTGTGAGCAGATTGTAGCTCATTTATGAACGTGCAGAAACACAGTAAACGATCAATTTCAATCGTTTCCTATTGAGTCTATGGGGCCAAAACGGGCTGTAATATGCCAATAAAAAGCTCACATACTTTTTCCAGCGACAGGCGTTTTGCTTATTGCGACACGACAAAACACTCAGATGTGAACAGGGCCATAGAAATGAATGGGCTTTTTTTTTTTTTTTTGAGGGGGCATATTTCTTGGGAGTTTTTTTAGGGCCGAAAAAGCGCTACAAACCTCTCAGCATGAACCAGGCCTTAGAGCTAGCTACCATTCTTACAGACTATCATTGCGACACTACTGCACTATGCAACAGGAAGGCACATCTAAATATAGCTGAGAGAAAAAGAAATGGCCTAACTTTCACTAAATCATTAGTAGTTGGATGAAACACACACTGAATGTCTTCAGGTAACTTATGTTTAGCTTAATCTATTCAATGTCTGTTAAACTCCAGTTGAATTAACCTATCTGTTCTTTCAAGAAAACAAAGCATATCAAGTTCTTTAAAATCATCTGGCAAATGTCAAAACATGACCTGAGGCCGCAATGAAGAAAAGGAAAGGGGGCAGTGAAGGAAAACAGGTAACCGTTTAAAAAAAACACAAATAAAGAGCACAGTGAAAAAGCAGACATGAAATAAAGTAAAATGTTCTATGTATGTCCACACAACAAAGAGATTCACGATAATGCTCTCATACATATCTGTCAAAACCTAAACAGGCTTTGCAGCAAATTTCCCTAAAGAATCACAAAGAGGAGGCTCTTAGGCAGAGGGAGGGGGTAAAAAAAAGCTAAATGTTAAAATGTGAACTAATGTGAGCCTGAAGCTTTCACAGGATTGTTTAACAATGACATTTTGCATGTCACAGAACAATGCCATGTTCCTAAAACAACAAGGCAAGCTTAATATTTCATTAATACATTAACCTTATAAGTGGAATTAGTTAGGAACTGTAAATCACTTTTAATCAAGGCAAACCAACCAAGCAAATTCTGTAGAAATGTCAAAAAATGCAAACTAAATACAAATGTGAGATTAAATGCACAACGGTAAACAGATATGGAGCAAACATTCTGTTACAGCCATGTTACATAAATTACCATTTGTAGCACGAAAAGGATAAAAGTTAGGTCTTGTTTTAACAATGACTGGCATCAATACAGCTGTGCAAGCTAGTAAATGTACCTCTGTATTTAGAACTGTGAACTACTTTGGATTGCTTTAAATCTTGTTTTAATGCGAGTTAGGCAAAGATTGCTGCTGTGTCCATTATTAAGATTTATGGATTACCACCAGCAAAACGGATTAACACTTGCAATTGGGAGAAAGGTATCAATAATAAATATGAAATGAGAATTACTTTAAATTGCAGGAAGTGCGGTCTAAAAATTACAGTAACTGTAATGACTTACAACACAATGATCAGACAGGTTTTTTTTACAGTTCTGACTATTCACCAGGATAGTGATTTGTAAAATGAATTAATACAAATTAAAATAATTTCAATGATGACTGGCATTTTTTGGGATTAATAGTTCCACCAACTTGGAATTTAAAAAAAATAAAATAAAAAAAGTTATTTGATCATTGATAATATTTACCCATCACCACAAATAGAACCATAAAGAGCATACAATACTGTACATATTGTATATATTTTTCAATGCTGACCACATATTGTCAAAGGCTTTTCCACCTAGTGTTTAGTCAATGCATGGAACAATTAAACAATATGGGGTAAACAGCAATAGTACTGTTCAGGTTTGAAAGAAAATTGTAGGAGGATATAATTAACGTAATCAGAGGTTGCTACTCAAGCCCATGCACAGTAGTAGTATTTCCTAAGAAAAAAAACAAACTGCTTCCTCAGACTTCATCACCTTCTCATACTGCTCCTAAACTGATTCTATATGCACACCTAGAATCAATGGACAGTGCATAAGTCTCGAAAATCTAGATTCTCTTAAATGGACACTAGGGCATTGCTTTTTCACTTTAACA